GCGCGCCTTCCCACCCGCTCCCCCGCCCCGAGAAATGGCCCAGCCTGAGCGCGCGGCTGTCCAAGCTGGCGGGATGGGTGAGCTCACGGGAACCCAGCCCTGGCACCCCCACGGCTCAGGACGCATCTCAGCTTCTTGGCTTACCTCTCCCACGAGTGTCTTTTCCTCGTTTCGCCAACCCACGTCTCTTTTGAAGAAGCACCCCATCCCCGGGACCCCCGTAGCTCTCGGCATCCCCTGGAAACATTGCAGGCTCTCTGGGGTTGCTGCACATCTGCCGTGTCTCCTCGGCCGCACTGGACACCCGCTGAGAGCGGCAGCCCTGCTTCCCCCCCACCCCCCCCCCCGAGAAGCCAAGTGGGGGCCAGAGGTGTGGACGATGCTAGTCTTTGTCGCTTGAAGGCGAAACGGGAGTCCAGTTTGCTGCGTCGTGACGAGTGCATTAGGATACGGGGTTAGCCCCTACACGAGACCCCGAACAGCAGAGACCTAAACAAGATAGCCACTCCCCAGTGTACACGGCCCAGGGCCCATACGGTGGCTCGGCAGTGTCAGGGAGCCCGACTCGTGCCAGCCCGCCGCTCTGCCGTCCCCAGCACACAGCTTCCACCTCGTGACTTGAAAAGGCTGCTCCGGTTCCCGCCATTGTGTCTGCATTCCAGCCAGCAGGAAGGAGAGCGGGGGAAAGAGGGCCCCTCCTCCTCCTAAAGGCACGATGGCAGCCTTTGGACATCTCCTCCATTCGCGTGCCACTGGCCAGACCCTGGTCACACAGATACCTTTAGTTGCAAAGGCAGCTGGGGAGTGGGCCCAGCAGAAATTCTTACTGAATACAGAAGAGAAGAACTGGTCTTATTTCTCCTACGACGATTTCCCCAGCGGCAAGCGGAGGTCCTCAAGAACATCCCCGCAGAAACTTCGGGTTTCCTTGGAGGCTGGGGAAACAGGGGTGGGAGGCAGGGGTCACCTGGGAGGTCAGAGGGAATGCGGCTGGCACTGGGGCCCCCGCACTCCTGTCCTACAACAGGAGGGAGAGGCTGGTGGCACCAGCGTCTGCAGAAGCCAGCCGGGTGACGGAGGCTCTGAATCTGCTCGCGTGTGGACGCAGTTCTCAGGACTCGTTTGCTCCCGCAGGCGGCTCATAACCTCTGTCCTCACGCAGGCTCCCCGATGCGGGACCTTCCTCCGCTTCCCCCGCGTCAGACGCGTGCAGGATTCAGGAAGAGGTCCAGTGCGCGGGCCACAATTGTGTGATCGTATCACTTCTGCTGGCTCAGAATCCCAGTCTTGTTTGACAACACCGAGGCCAGCCCCCCGGGGGTCAGTCTTGATCAGACAAACCACCCATGGCAACCCTGTTCCCCACTTTTAGTGATTGGGATGGCATGGGCGTGCCACCCAATCCTGGCCAGTCGGATAGAGGGGGACGTCTGCTGGGGGTTGGCGGGAAGCTTCCCTCCCGCCATCTCACTCATAGAGACAGCAAGCTGTTCAGGGCACTGGGTGGGTGGGTGAGGATGTGATGCCTGGAGCTGTGGCAGCTTCCTTGCCGTAATGAGGTGACAAAGGCGAGGCTGAAAAAACCTCAGGGGCAACGGAGTGAAAGGCCTTATTCTCCTACCAGAACCACCGACAGCTCTCCAACCTGTTTAGTACAAGGACCGAAAGAAAAAGCCTTAGCTATTTCGCTGTTTTCTCTGCGAAGGACTGGACTGGACTGGAAGGACTGGACTGGAAGGACCCTTCCGGGAACACCTCCTCCAGCTAGCAGGGGTCCTTCCTTCCCTGGCCAGTCCCTTACGCATCTGTTAGCACTTGATTCATCTGTTTACAAGTCACACACACACACACACACACACACGCACACCGTATGCATCTGTGGCTATAGAACAAATACCCCCAAACACACAGTAGCTGAAAACAACAATCACCATTTATTATCTCACTGTTTTCGTGGGTTGGGAATTTGGAAGCAGCCTAGCTGGGTGGTTTTGGCTTGCGGTCTCTTAGAGGATTGCAGTCAGGTGTCAGCAGAGACTGGGGCCATCGAAGGCTTGACGGGCCTGGGGGGAGTTCCATCCGACAAGGCCCAAGGGCGGGCCTCGCAAGCTCCTGGCCTCGTACAAGGCCCTGCCTTCTTGGTGATGTTGGCGGTCAACGGTAGGGTGATCTGGGTGTCTCCTCGGGGGACCGAGTGACTCCCCCCGCAGCCCATGGTCTCCACGCCCCCAAGAGAAGCTAAACGTCATTTTGTACCATCCGAGCTCCATGGAAACCGCCCCGACTCGGTTAATTAATCCCTGCTTCCCTTGCTTTAAGCAAACCAGGTTTCCGGGAATCTCTGGGATCACAGTGAAGGTAGAAATCCCTCTCAGCCTCAGGGCCTGCCCGGTGCTTGAAGCTGGGATGATACTTGCCCTTACGGAGCGATGTCGCTCGATGCGGCCTCTTGGTTCTGTCTTAGCGTCGTGAGGTCTTGGGCACAACGTGTCTGCGCGAAGCCTGGTGACGAGTAACTGACAGGGCCCGGGAAATGCCTCTCCGTGGGAGGCAGGGGCCGCGCGATATCACCGGTGCTGAGCCACAGACGCAACACCCTGGACAAATCGCTCAGCCCCCCTGAGCCTCAGTTTCCTCATTGGAAAAGTAGGGGTGGCGACCGTGGCGCGTCTGAGGCTGGGGAGGACACCGGGTGGCAGGCGCTCAGGCTGGCTCTAGGACACAGCGACGCCCCAGATGACAGGTCTGATGGATGTCACCAGGCACTGGGTTAACAAACCAACCCAAGATTTGCAAAGCCCTGGTGGGAGGCGGAGACACTCCCTGCCCTGGCTCTGGGCCAGGCCCTCACCCCCCAGAGGCAGCCACGTGTGAGTGACCCAGGCCCCGTCTGTACATCTGGAGGGGACCCTAGGGTGCGGGGCCGATCAGTTACACCACGGTGTGAGGCCTCTGTGCTTTCTGAGCTCTTCATCTGAGAGTTTACTGCTTTGATATTGGGGGGCGGGCGTGGAAGCCCAGAAGACCAAACAAACATCATGATGAAAGAGAAAGTGGGGGGCAGGGCCACGGCACGGGCTATAACGGAAGACACACAGAGTCCTCTTGACGGGGGGGTGGTTTTAGACGGTGCCGCGGGAGGGAGGGCCTCCTGGGAGAGGCTTCTCCCGAGGTTTGGGGCCGGGTGTCGGGATCGGAGAGTCGGGGCCAGACTCACAAGCGGCCGAGCCTGCTGGGGGACCTTGGGGAGGAAGTTGACCTCCCTGTGCCTCAGTCTCCCCTCCTGTAAAATGGGCGTGATGGGGTTACAGCTCCTCCAGCTCTCAGGGAGCTCGTGAGGATGAAAGGAACAACCACGGGGCTTGGAAGCAGGCCTATGGCTCGAGTCAGGGGGTCTCCCCTTCTCTACCCTCCCCCTGCACCCCTGCCTTGTCCCAGGGAGGGCATGCCAAACAGAACATTAACCCCGCTGCCCCCCCTGCCCTGGTGGTGGCCTGAGATCTTTCTCGAAGGTGGGGTGGCTGAGCGCTTTCTAGGCCTCTGCCTAAGATTTCCCACTAACAGGCTGGGGAGAGCTGGCCTGGGCAAGAGGGGTTAACAGTGCTCCGGGGCCTTTTCCCCCTCGGGGGCCCTGCCTGCCCCTGAGCCCAGTCACCCAGACCCGGGGCTGGTTTCTGCCTGTGCAGAAGCCCCTTTGTGGCCATCCTTCCACAAGGTTAACTCAGACCCGGTGGCACCAGCAGGAGGGGTCCCGTGGGCACCCTAGCCTCTATGCATTCCCATGGCACCCTTGGCAGGGGGCTGCAGGGGCTGCACAGAGAGGCTTGAGGCTCAAAGAGCTCAGAGGCCACCTATGCCCCCAGACAGCGGAGCCAGGCTGGGCCCCCCAGTCTCCTCATCTGTCCTAGGGCACAGTGCTTCCTCCCTGCCCTCGAGGGTCTGAAAGTCCGAGAAATCAGCAGCAAACCTCTGTAGCCCAGAGCTCAGTGATACGTCTGCTACACCGGGGGACAAGGGCCAGGGGGACAGGACGGCCCCAGCGGCGCCAGAACTCTGAGCCTCCTTTCTGAACACTGACACCTACAGGGGGGCACTGTCCTCGCTCCCAGCTACGGCGTTCGGCTGGAAGGGTGTGGGTCCCCTCTAAGTACAGACTGGCCTGGGAACCTCCCCTCACACCCCTGCACCTCGCCCTCTCCATCTGCCTTAGTCAGGCTTCAGCTGGAGAAACCGAACCAGTGGGTCTGTGTGAAGCGACGGATTGCAAGGCTTTGGTCACGCAGGCTGTGGGGCGGCGGGACAGGTGTGGAACCCGAAAAGCGTGGGGCGGGGGGCTTGTGGGGGGCAGGCGGGAAGGCGGGCTGGACCCCGGGTCTCCGTTGCCGCTGCCGACTGCCTGCAGGTGGAATATTTTCCCCATCGGTGAAGCCTCAGCTCCACATGTAGGCCTTTCGAGCGATGGATGGAGTCAGGCCCACCCAGAGTATCTGGAACAGCCCCCCTTACTTCTCCGCAACCGATTATGGGCTGTAATCGCATCTGCATGGCGTGTGCCCAGTGACCTCGAGGAACTGGCGACTGTAGCCTCGCTGTGTTGACCCTGACATCACACTCTGTGTCTCTGCCACCCTCCTCTGTCCGCGGTTTCTAGCTCCTTCTGCCAGGGTGGGGTAAGGCTGGGAGCACTCCCAGCTCTCCTGCAGTGAATTCTCACCTGCACCCTCAGCCCTTAGCCCCGGCTCCTCCTCCAGCCTTGTTCGTGCCATCTCCCCTTAACCAGCCTGCGCAAGCCCCGTGAGCCCCACCGGGCGTGGGGCAACCAGCTTGCCTCGCTGCCTTCAGGGAGATGCCAGTCTCCGCCCGGAACACCGGGGTCCGCCCGGTGCCTCTGTTTTGCTGGCCTCGCAGCCGTGCTCTGGGCCGGATTCCCTGGTTAGATCGTGGCTCTGGGCTGCAGGAAGCCGGCCCCGTGGTTGTTTTCTTTCGATTGCACAATCCTGGCTCAGGAGGCCGGAGCGGACATCTGCTGTTTTGGCCGGCCGGGCACCCACGCCCCCCTTTCTGGCAAAAGCCCCCTAGTTGCCTCACGGTGAGTTCCCCTCGTGTGCGCAGCCTGGGGAGTGGGTTGTGGGTCCAGACGCCCCTGTCCCCCACCCTTGCCAGCGGGCGGGGCCTGTAGCCCTGGCTAGGTCGTTAGCCCTCCCCCCCCC